ACTCCGGCACCTCACCTCTAGCTCTCAGTAATTCTCGGTAACTCTCACTAACTCACTAACTCCGGCACCTCACCTCTAGCTCTCAGTAATTCTCAGTAACTCTCACTAACTCACTAACTCCGGCACCTCACCTCTAGCAGTCTGCGAGATGCTGCGCTTCTCCCTCACGAACACCAGCTGCTGGCTCGTCGCCGTGGTGGCGCCACTGTCACCCTGCGAGAACGGTCGGAACGTGTGCCTCTCGCGGCAGACGATAGAGTTGATGTAGCTTCCTCGGAAGATGTTCTGTTCACACTCGTGCGTGCTGCTCACCAGGGGCATGCTCTGGGTCTGCGGCATAAGTTAATCTAGTTAAGTTAATTAATTAAGTTATCAGTATTATAGTTAATATTATCTATCTAGTCTATATATCTAGTTAGTATGGTCACATCGTAGTTAAATAATCACCCATGAACACATTTTATTTCGTGCCTTGCCACATTCATCTTTCATCTGTGGCCAGCATTTGCTACCGCATACATAATTGCAGTGATACAAACACAATAGTAGCACATGTATATTTGCATTGGGAGGATAGAAAAAACATTTGCTATAAGACCATTCTAAGATAAAATATTCTAAGACTAAGATATTTTTCTCTCATTGACATGTGAAAGATATGAGACTCTCACGTACTCCTGCTACTACCCACAATCACGACATAGTCAGAATTCATCAGCAACACAGTCAGAAAACAGCAACACAGTCAGAACTCAACAGCAACACAAGCAACCTTGCCGAGACACCCCGTTCGATTACCGCTCAGCGAGTTGCGGATCTGAAGAAGACGTGGCACGTACCTCATCCGTGTGGAAGGGAATTGTCTTCAGCGCTGTCCTCGTGCTGTGACGCTCTCTACAGTTACTCAGGTCCTTCACCTTCGTGATCACAGACTGTCCCCAGTTCGCCCACCCCCCAGACTTCAGGGTGTACTCGGTCGGACAGATACCGTTGACGTCAGTCTATAGAGAGAGGGAGACACCGTTGACGATGCTAATAAGCTACAGCGATTCGATGGAAACGTCGTTGAAAAGCAATCACACCTAATACAAGATGGTCACTGGTTGTCCTAAAGCTATAATTGCATATTTATAATTTTTCTGAATACACTAATTAGTTTTATTAGTGTATTCACCATAGTAGAGATATTATAAACATGAATATCATTGATCGTTAACTAAATTGTTAACGTTAACAAAAACATTACACATGGACTAGAGAAAATGAAACATCATTTTTTCACTACATCTGTGCCTGCCCCCTCGCTCACCACTAGCGCCCCCTGCCCATCCACTAGCGCTCCCTGCCCCCTCGCTCACCACTAGCGCCCCCTCGCTCACCACTAGCGCCCCCTGCCTCCCTCATTCACCACTAGCGACTCCTCGCTCACCACTAGCGCCCCCTGCCCCCTCACTCACCACTAGCACCCTCTGCCCCTCCACTAGCGCCCCCTACCCCTCCACTAGCGCCCCCTGGCTCACCTCTAGAGTCGAGTGTCGGTTGTCGAGATTCGGCATCGTGTTCTGGATCGCCGACAGGATGCCCTTCTTGATGTTGACGATCCATCGAGGGTCGTCAGTCTCCGGGCAGACGTGCTCGACGTGGCCGTTCGCGAACGCAAAGTACAGTGGCCACGCCTCCGCCGCGACCTTGAACTGCCTCGACGCATCGCTGCTCACCCGCTCGCCGTTGACCTTGCTGTAGAACTCGACATTCTCCAACTGCGGGGGGAATCGAGAGAGCGGTGGCGGCCATCTTTGTTAGACACGTGCGGGAATGCTGGGAATATTCTATTATATTAACCATATCCTCTAACATTATGCGTGGGTCTGATACTACAGACAAGCAATGTTCACTAACTGCACAACGAGTGCCTGGCTCTTTAGACAAAGCTTATACGTGAGTAAAATACTACACATACTACATTCGCTCTAGGCTGGCTTCACTCTGATTACATACTATGTCACGTTTACTCTGACCGTGATACCATGCCACGACATGGCATTCATGCAGTTGCAACACTGACGCACACACACACGCACGCGCACGCACGCACGCACGCACGCACGCACGCACGCACACACACACACACTATCATTCTCTCAGCTATACGACCACATCGTGTAGACAGCATCCCCCCCATCCCTATACGTACCGACAGCACCATGTCACACGGCTGTAGGACTTTGATAGTGACGACGGCCGTGAACCAGAGACCGGTCGCGTCGTTGCCGACGCCATGGATGGCCGTCTCTGTCTCCGCCTCGTAGTTGTACACATAACTCTTGCCCACCTCATAGTTGTACTTGGAATCGGCTGGTGAAACGCAAGACCAACATATTTAACGATCTCTGCCTTGTATTTGTGAATGTAACGTTCCGCCTAACCTCATAGTTTTATTAGGAAGGCTGGCGAAACGCAAGACCAACATATTTAACAATC